GAGTGCTCCGTCCGGCTGGTGTCGAGTGGCAGAGAGCCAGGTTATGAGTCCGCCACAACCATTTTGTATACGGCGCCATATATGATACCTAGAACGAAGCTCACCGATGCGCGGTAATTTCATTGCAGATGCAGTAGAACCATGCTGCTCAGGAACTGGAGATATTTAGAACAGAACTATTCCACTATTCTGATCAGATAGAGTGGTGCAGAAAAAGTAGATCAGATAGAATAGTGCAGATAGAGTAGAACAGATGGAGTAGTGCAGTGCAGATAGAGTGATACAGGGCTGCGCTGTAGATTTTTTTATGTTTTCTTTACATTCTTTGAACATTCCTCTGCCTGAGTTTATTTATTTGGTGGTACACTTTACAAGAAAAATGCCCACAAGCTGCCTTGAAAGGGATGATGTAAAATTTCAATTTTAGGTGACTTCTGATCTAGAGAGTAAACATTAATATTCTTCAACAAAAGCAAAATTCACCATCGAAAAAAAACTGAATTTAATTCAGCTAATAGATACGTTAACACAACATTTAATAGGTATTTAATAATTCAGAGGCGGTACGAAGTTCGCCGGGTCAGCTAGTTATTTATATAACAAGGTTGCGAAAAATTTCATGCACGAGCTAATATTATGATGAGTAATCATATAAAGCGAAGAAGAATTATTTTTTCTACAACTGCAGCGTCTGAAATTAAAGAATTAGTTTTGCGAAAAAATAACTTCAGAGCAGTTAGTGAGAACGTTATCCTGGCCCATTTAGCTGAAAAGAAAAAAAATGGTCAAAGTATCTACATTGTGGTCTAGTTACTTACCTACTCCATGCTCAAATCCTTAGGCATAGATATTACCAAACACTTGAAGATTTCCCCAAAAAAAAACAACTGCTAGGATATTGGGCAAGAAAATTCAAAGTATTTACAAGTGCAGATATTCCCAAACTTCTAACTATTGCTCTGGATGACTCTTAATTTCTGTCAGAAGTTCTGCTCATCATTGAAGTCTCTGGAGCTTGCCGGCTTGATGTGCTGATAAAAATGAGCGTTGATGATATTCAAGATGAAGGATTCGTGGTATCAATCACTGTTCCAGACACCCAAAGAATATTCACAATCATCAATCTTGAATACATTCGAATATTCCGGACGTTAACAGAATTTCGGCCCCCTTATGTGAGCTTTAGACGATTATTCATTAAACATCAGAACCAAGTGTTGCCAAAAATAAAATAAGAGCATGATGGCGAAATTGCATAGTCTACATTAAATTGAATTGTAAACCGGCCTGTTTTTGCCGTACTTCGGCAACTTTATTAGCGAATACTAGAACAAACTGATATTACCATGTTGAAGCGACATGGAGGCTGGTTGCAATGGTTGCAGAAGAATATGCCGAGGATTCTGTGCAGCAACTGTTCTATTTTTAGTGCAGGGTTTTCTGACCACGAAGCAGTATTAACGAATTTCTCATTGAATTCCTTACGTAAGGGTGCTTCCCGCAAATTGGGCAGAATATTTTCGGATGGAAATTTCCCATGTGCATATTTAACTGGAAATTTACCTCGTAATTTTCAAAAATTGATAAGTGGAAATATCCCTGGTGAGCGGGATATTTCCGGGTGCAATTTCCAATGCGACAATGCCGCGCGGCGTCCGTCGGAAACCCACCTTTAGGTTGTCATTTTTGGCATTGAGACCAGCTTTTGCATTCAAAACGCATTAATGTCAGAAATCTGTCAAAGTGTATATGTGTGTATATTTTTTGACAAACGCAATTTAAATAGGGAAGATCAATAAAAATCACCATCACAGAACATATCATATTTAAAATATTCGAAACAACTTATAGTAAATAAACTTCAAACTCGGGAAATTTCCTATCAAAATATAACACGTGCATAAAATATTTCCTAAGGGAAATTTTTTAAAATTTCGTCTTTAGCCAATTTTTTTAAACAAAACCATTCGTGCATAGCGCCGAAGAAAAAAATTGGCTTCAGACCAAATTTTCAAAAATTTCCGGAAATATTTTATGCACTAGTTATATTTCTACTGGAATTTTTTTAAATTTCAGTCAACTTTGCTTATCAGTTGACTGGGTCGTCCACTCAGGTGATGTTGACTCCGAGTTCTCTAGATTCATAAATACCCTATCTGACCTGGCGACTAAATCCTTTCCTCTCAGACCCATCAAAGTCAAACGGCATAAACCATGGTCCACTAGTGGCTTGCGTACTTCTGGAAAAAATATGCGATCCTTGTCTCATCTAAAAAAATTCTCGGATAGCGTCTTCTTCAATGATTACGTAAAATTATACCGAAAAGTCTATCAGAAAACCATAAAAGCCGCCAAAGACATTTATTATAATAGGAGGCTGGCAAACTCCAAAAATGTTGCAAAAGAAACATGGTCAATTGTTAATGACTTGAGGAATAAGGCTTCTTCATCTAGCAAAATTCCTACTTCACCTGAGATCCTTAACGATTACTTTGTTGATGTGGCTAAGAATTTAGTGAATACCTTAACTCCTTCCCAGGACCCACTTTCATATCTCCCGAATGCTAAGGTGAACTTACACAGTTTCTTCTTCACTTATTTTTCTCTGGAGACTCTTTTCGGACTTTATCATAATGTATACCCTGCAGGCTGCAATTTGCATTATTTTGTAATATAGTCTATTTGTGATTTGGAATATTTTTTGAAATTTTTGATCTTAGACTCGACAACTTATCAAGCTAATAAAAAAGTGCTATTCGCTTGAATTTATGGAATTTATTTATAGACTGTGAGATAGGGGCTGTTCAGTGGAGTCATTTTTTTTTGTCTGGCATTTTGAGGGCTGAATGTGGTTACTAAGCTGATGAGAATATGGGTGATTTTAATGCCAGCCTCCCGTTCGAAAATTTGGAAAATCAATTTTCATTTGCATGAAACATTTTGTTTTTTTATGATGTTAAAGTGTCTGGCATTCGAATAAAAGATTCTCAATGATAAATAATCCACCAATTAAAAATGCCAGATGGTTTTCAGTGGTCGAAAAGGTGGAGGAAAGTGGTCAACTTGCAAGGAAAAAAAACAAATTTCCACAATTTCTTTCTGTCTGGCAATCGAGAGAATAAAAGGTTTTGTTATGAAAATTACGCTGAAAAATTGCCAGACGGTGATCACAGTTCGAAATCGCGTTTGCCGCGGAAGATTATGCAAAAATTTCGAATTTTTTTTAGTGATTTCTAAGTGCACAAAAAGTTGAGCAAAGTGTTTTCAATAACTCAAAAGCGAACATGATGTTTTGCCAGACAAGTTCGGCTGTTCCATTATTTATAAATTAATAAAAAAGTTACAAAAAAAATATGGAATTTTCCACGTTTTTTTTTTGTCTGGTATTTCGTATTTTTATTTAAAATACGTGTACATTCACACGTTAAAAATGCCAGACAAGTTGAGCTGTTCGAAAATTTATTAATAGAAATTTTTTAAACAATATGGGAAAGTTCATATTGGAATCACAGGTAAGTATATACCTACTCAATCTAAAGGTGATATGTTCTCGTGTGGCATTTTGTATTTCTATTGATTTTTTGAATTTATTAATGCGCAACAAAATAGTTTTTTTCTACTGACGTTTCATAATAGCAACTTTTCGATTGTCATTTCAGTTTTGAAACGACATTCTTTTAGGCACTGAGTGCGTGAAAGTTACTTTTAGGCACTCAGTGCGTAAAAGTGACTTTTGAATGCGTAAAAGTGACTTATGAGTGCGTAAAAGTAATTTTTAAGCACTAGTGCCTAAAAGTGTCAATCATTATTCAGAAATAAAAAACACACTAAACACATATTTGAATTTTGTTTTGTATTTATTATGAATATTGAAAATGGAATTACTGAATTGAACGTTTGGGTTACTCAAAACAGAACTTTGTGTTATTACCTACTTTCTAGGATTTTAATTATTGATGTCGAATTTTGAAAAGAAAATCGCATGAAAAGTGTCAGGTGTCAAGTAAAAGCAGGTAACAAAGATTTTGGGTGTAATCGACTTATTCACATGAAATAAAATTGTGTTTTTTTATTATAAAATGCCAGTAGAAAAAATCTTGTATACAATACGTTACGAAACGATGTCTTTTAGTCACTCGACGTGTTGTCCAACTCGGCTTTGCCTCGTTGGACAATTTTCACGTCGCGTGCCTAAAAGACGCTCATTTCGTAACTTATTGTATAAATAGCTATTTCAAATCTATATATTTTTGTGACCTAGAAGTCCGATAAAATAAATAAAATTAGGCAGCGCCACTGCCAGGTAACGATTGGTAGCAGAATTACTCGGTCAACTACTGATGAACTACTGGCAATACTGCGTATTAGGCCGTGTTTATGTTGGAGCTGTGATAAACGATAAAAGCAACGATACTAATGATACTCTACATTAGTGTCGTTGCTTTTATCGAGTATCACAGCTCCAACATAAACACGACCTAAAGCTAAACCTGTGGCTAAACTGCCAAATTTTGTCATCAATACGACAAGCAGGTCTTGTGTTGGAAACAGTCTATGACAGTTTTTCCGCTTATGTTACTATTTCCCAGAAATCTAACATGGAAGAGAATATAAAAAAAACTTGCTTCATCTGCCAAGACGAGGAAACTGCAAATAAGCCTATCAAATTGTTCAAAGGTACTAAAGGCCATGTTATGCTTGATAAAGCAGAAATCATTTTGTGTTCTCGAAAGTTTCATGACCTTTTTTACAAATCCTGTAAACTTCCTCCACGGGATAGTACAACCATTGGTTATCATTCGAAGTGTTGGAGTAATTTTTCGGGTCTGAATAAAAAGTTTTATGTTGATCCGCAACAGCATAACGTGTGAGTAATTTTGAAATTTAATATAATTTATATCCCTTCATAATACCAGAAAGTGAACTTTCAGGTTTCTGGTTTGAATTTTTTTTAAATTTTACATTTATTTATATATTTAAGTATATTTATATTTTTCCAGTTCATTGGATCAAAACGATCGTGAAGAAAGTATTGTCGAGGAGAATGTTATTGAAGGAGAAGAAAATACAGAAAATGGGTCTTCAATTCATGATCAAAATACAACTGCTAATCCAACTAAAAATGTATGCGTTTTTTGCAATAGATTCCGTAAACGAGTGAAATGTCGAGAAATACTACTCACTAAAACATTGTATTCTCATAGATTTGATAAAATTATTAATCATGCTGTTACCTGGAACGATATCGAATTAGCAGACAGGCTTCGAAAGAGTGAAGAGGAAGGATTGAAAATCTACTACCACAGTGTTTGTCTTACTGGCTACGACAAGCTGTTCGTCGTAAACAAAAACGCAGGAAATGGAGAGTGGCATTTTACTCGCCAACTGTATAAAAATGCTTATGCAGTAGTCTATCGATTTATTAAATTACAAGTTATTAATCAACGCAGACCATGCACGCTCAGTTTCATTCAAGAATTATTTATGGAATCATTACTGGAACAGTATGACGGAAGGAAGGAAAAAAAAGATTTGCACTTCAAGTTTTTAAGGAATAAAATACGGATGCAGTTTGCAAAAAAAATTAAAATTTTTAAACTTAATAAAGTAACGTTTGTAGCTCCTGCTGGAAGTATTCCTCTTGATTTTGATATCTTGAGTGAAACCGATATTATTAACAGAGCAGCATTGATACTAAGACGCAGTATTATTACCAATATTGAGCAATACTGGCATTACAATGAATAAGTAGACGCATCAGCATATCAGCAAAAAACTTGGTGCAAGGATCCAAGTTTGAGGAATCAATAATTTCTTGCTGACAATAGGAAATCGACTTGGATCGATAATTCGATTTTCCTAGTCAGTTGGGTCTTAAAGCTGAAGCTGATAACAAAGCTTGAGCCGGGCTATCGGACGCGAAGAAAGTTCAAGTTAAAGTTACAGAAAGATGGATTTCCAGCGGTAACTCATTTGTCAATTTGTAAACTCATCATTTTAAATTAATAAAATTATTCAAGATACTTTCCCTTATTTTATTATTATTTATTTTATTTTGTAAGTAATAAATTGGCATTTTTATTTTACATTTGGTTTTCATTTTGGACTAGATCCCAAGTCCCCAGTCACGACAAAACAGGTTGTGACAATATAGTCAATGTTTAATAAAAGTGTTACTGTTTGTGAGTGAGTGAACCCGGAATCCGTGACAATTTGGTGTCGGAAGTGAGACAATTGATGCATTGATTTGAACTGACAACAAAATTGGTGTATTAATTGGGGCTAATTCGTGCGGGAAAAATCAATGAACTTTTATTGAACTGAAATAGTGATTTTATTACCAGATTTGACATAAAAAAAAACAGCTGACAATAGTTATTTTCCTAACAAGTGCGGAAGGTGATACTTTCCCGCACGCGACTGCCGTTGACCCGAACGACGCGAAGCGGAGTTCCGGCAAGCAGTCGAGTGCGGAAAAGACACTTTCCGCATGAGTTAGGAACATTATTTTTTCTACGAGCGCGTTCAAATATAAAAACAAAAACTAAGTAAATTCTAACCGATATATTATTAAAGAAATCGTTTAATTACAAAATTACTTATTATGATGGATATTAATATTAAAAGTACAGTTTGTAACATGCTGTAAAATAATAGCTGATGCCATCTGCTGTTTCAGTAGAGCCGGCCCAACATGGTTAGTTGGTGCTGCAGTTGGTGTCTCGGTTGATGCCAATTACAATAAACAAAATTTCTAAGGTAAAAAAACTGCCCCGCCTCAAAGGAACCAAAAAATGAAACAATGTCAAAAAAAATTATAAATTTTTTGAAAGATCCACAAATTAGATCAATATGGATTAAAATTGGAATATTTCAAATAGTTTATGAGCGCATAAATTAGTTAGTACATCTAGCAAAAATGTATGGAGACAAAATTGATAAAATGTTTTATTGATTAACAAAACTTCTGAACGCCACTTTCCCGCACTAGTGCGGGAAAGTGACATTATCGGAACTAAGATGCGTGCGGGAAAGTGATAAAAAATGCTCGCTCGTAGAAAAACGAATCTTCTCAAAAGATCTACAATAGAATATTATATTGTGTTCTATCTGAAAATTTGATTTCGTCTCAGAACTTTCGATTCAGGAAAAAAAAGATGCTGATTAGTGATTACTCAATTTGTGAAAACAAGACAGCAAACAGCCGAAATGATGGCGGACTTCATGAAGAATTTGGATGACATAAGACAAAATGAAGAAGACAGAAACAAGAAGAACAAGACCGGCTTGCAGCACTATTACAACAACAAGAAGACCAGAGACGGAAAGAAATACAAAAATAAGAAGACCGAACACAGAAAAAAAAAACAAGAAGAAAAAGGTCGGAGACAGAAAGAACAGGACCGGCTTGCTGCACTTTTACATCAAGAAGACCGAAAATAAAAAGAACAGGAACGGCTTGCAGTACTTTTACAACAACAAGAAGAGCGGGGATAAAAAGAACGGGACAGGCTTCGGGAAAATTTTAAACATCAGCGTGAATGGATGCAAACCGTAATCTCTGAGGAACAAACTAGACTTGCGAAAATTCTGGAAGCAGAAGATAATAAATTCACTAGGGCTTCGCAAGACCAAGACTGGCCAGTCTTGGTATTGGTCTCGAAAAATAAATGCGGTCTTGGTATTGGTCCTGGTCTTGATATTTCGAGACCAAGACAAGACTGGCTCAGTATTGGTCTTGGTCTTGATAGTCTTGGTCTTGGTCTTGAAAAAAATTTATACCAAATTTTTAAAATATACATAACATCCAATGACAGAGCAGAGATAATGGGTTTAGGACTTCAAAAATAAAAAATTAACCTCCCTTTCTGAAAAAATTATGCCGACGTTTCGACCATGCATTTGGTTTTCTTCACAGGCTAATTTTATCACCAAAAGCGTTTCTTCACAGATCACCTAATACAGATGCGTTATATATATATATATATATATATATATATATATATATATATATATATATATATATATATCTATATATCTTTTAAAAGGAATAAACGGGATGATGCTATAACGATAAGTGTTGAGGTGTCCGAGTTCGGGTTCGTATAACAATGTTCGTGAGTGGTTTTGATATTACCACTGCTGAAAGTAAAATAAGAAGCAGCAGAAATGCTTTATGGTCTTCATCCGTTAACTCAGACAGTAAATTATTTGATGTTCGTAGAACTTTTCTGCGTGGAATCCATTTTCGTATCTTGTGTTTATGTCTCTGATGCTTCTTGTTTTTTTCGTATCTTCTGCAATTGTATTAACAAAATTTCTACAAGATTAAAACCTGCTTGAACCTCTTCAGTTAACGACATTTTTCTACTGCGCCAGTTAAAAGTTTTTGATATCAAGTAGAAACAGATACTGGCGCCACTATTATTACGCCAGCAAACTGGCTTGTTCACTGGCGCTATAATAAACTATGCTTGTGGAAACGCCGCTTTAGATTGAGTATATACCTGTGATTCGGGATTTCAATTTAAATATTCCTCATGTTAATTAAAAATTTTCTCTGTTAATAAATTTTGGATCAGCTCAACTTGTCTGGCATTTTCTAGATGTGTATGTAGACGTATTTTAGATAGGATTACAGAATGCCAGACAAAAAAAAATCGCGGGTAATTTTATATTTTTTCTGTCAATTTTTTTTCGTCTGCCATCATTTTTCCAATATCGAATCTAACTGGCAAACTGAAATCAATTATAAATGTATTTGTGATCTTTAATTTACCGCGTTGCCAGACAAATTGAAATCACTAAAAATTTTCCGAAATCTTTACATAATCTTCCGCGGCAAACGCGATTTCGAACTGTGATCACCGTCTGGCAATTTTTCAGCGTAATTTTCATAACAAAACCTTTTATTCTCTCGATTGCCAGACAGAAAGAAATTGTGGAAATTTGTTTTTTTTCCTTGCAACTTGACCACTTTCCTCCACCTTTTCGACCACTGAAAACCGTCTGGCATTTTTAATTGGTGGATTATTTATCATTGTGAATCTTTTATTCGAATGCCAGACACTTTAACATCATAAAAAAACAAAATGTTTCATGCAAATGAAAATTGATTTTCCAAATTTTCGAACGGGAGGCTGGCATTAAAATCACCCATATTCTCATCAGCTTAGTAACCACATTCAGCCCTCAAAATGCCAGACAAAAAAAAATGACTCCACTAAACAGCCCCTATCTCACAGTCTATTAGGCCTTCTTGGAAGTTTATTTTCTATATTACAACAATTTTAATATTTTCTTTGGTATTGTACAATGTTAAATACTGATATAAAATTTTAGTACACTTTCAATTTGTGGTTATTTTAATTTCGATTCGTCATTTGAACTTAAATTTGAAAAAAAGTTTTTGGCCTAGCCTCCAAATTTTATTTTTATTTTTATATGTACCATGGTATGATTCCACCAAATACAAAATTACTTGCAATTAAGGTCTTATTTACGTTTTTACGTTTAGCAAATTAGTGAAGATGTTAAAATGTTTTTATGGCATATTACATACCACTAGAAAGGGGATAAAATAAAGAACTTTCTAAGAGAATTTGAAGATCACGATCGACTTTAGTTTTTTTTTTATTGCAATGGAAATTTCACTTTTCAATTTATTTTCACCTGTTTCAAAAATTTAATCAGTTAATAATAAAAAGACTAGACGTTAATGGCAAGTAATTTTGTATTTGGTGGAACCATACCACAGTACACATAAAAATAAAAATAAAATTTGGAGGCTAGGCCAACAAATTTTTTTTTAAATTAAGTTTAAATGACGAATTTTGAGATTAAAAAAACCAAATTGACAAAAACCCTAGGGGTCAAGGATGAGTTATTATGGCTGAAGAGGTAGCAAATGGCCCCTTCTTTCGGGCAGTTAAATGTGGCAAACGATGCACCAAAAATCCTGTATATCCGTAAAATCCAGAATAAACGCGATAGCCCTTTTTCCCGAATAGCACTGTAAAATCAGCTATCCAATTCTGTGCACCCTGGCAGAGGCGCATAGGTAAACTTCGCTACAATACTGAGAATTGATTCATGGTTAAGAACAGTTTCAGCCTAAAATGGGCCATATTATCTATACATAAGCCCTTTTTTGTATTAATTCAGTTATTTTTTTTTGTTTTTTTTTTCCTGTTTTTTTTTTTTCATTTTTTTTTTATTATGAATTTTAGAATTTAATTATTTTGTAGGTATTCTTCATAGTATTTTTTTTTGGATCTCGTTTAATATTATTATTTTTTTTTATTATTATTCACCCTATTTACGCCTTATTTGATGTTTTATGCAAAAATTTAAAATATTTCTCCTCCGGTTTTTTTTATCAATGAAACCGAATGGACGGATGTTATGTGTAATGCATTCACAATGTTTGGATAATCATGAAAAGCTTTCAACCCGATGTTAATAGTCATCGGCCAAAAAAAATCTCTGCGTATTTGTCCATCGTATTCAATCAACGCATATTTTTTTTTTGAGCACGAAAATTTCCATTAATAATCTTTACAACGGTCAGGGCCTATTGTTTTGTAAATATAAATAAGAAAAATGTT